TCGGGGTTTGGGGGATTTTTATTGTGGATTTCCGAAATATTAAAATATATATATATTTTCGATATAATATCTTATTTAAACTAGTTCTTATTTGTTAGTTGGTTTAAGTAATATCCTCGTGCAGAAAAATGTTAAGAAAAAATAAAACAGGCATACCAGTCTTTTTAAAAAGACCAAACAACAAAAAAATAACACTGCTTAATAAAAAAATTAACAGGGAAACAAGGAAACGTGTTAAAAAAATCCATATAAAATTTGAAGTAACGGGATTTTTGTTTCAGAAAAACATGTGACTGATCCCAAAAGTACATTTTAGTACATAAGCAAATAAACTTGATGTCAATTTTTTTCATTATTAAACATTTTATTAATTAATGATTATTCACAAAACAAAAGCTTAGTTCGAAGATTAATATGCTTAATAGTGTTGTCACAATAACAATAAAAATAACAAAATGATTTTATAATTTATCTTTGTTGGGTTTTATAAAGTCGACATTATCTTTGAGCATTTCAGTGAGAACATCATTTTTAAAATATCCAATAACAAAACAATATTGTTATTTTGTATTATCATCTTTTCTTGTGTTGTTCTTTGACTTGGTCTGTCAAAATTATCAAACATTTGCTGTAATTATTATTTTTGTTTTTGGAACTCTTTTTTTCATGATTTTTTATTCATAGAAGAAAATTACAGTTTGTTTTTAATTGAAAATATTTTTTAACGAAAGTAATATTCAATTAAAACCCGACACAAACAACATCCAATTTACTTAAACGTTAGTTGTTGTGCTTTTAGGCCAACAATACTGAATATATGTTGCGAAGTATCGAGTTGAGGTCAAATCAAATAAGGGGATCAGGTTTTTTGGAAAAAGGCTGGCTAATATTCCAACATTTCCCGAATTTGTACGAAAATAATTGAACGGGATAAATATTTTTTCAAAATAAAGTCGGTACTTTCGTTTTTTTGTTTTTTATTTTTTTAGGAAAAAACAAAAATAAAAAACGAAACTTTAGAAGTTCTAAAAATATGACAGTACCGACTTTTGAAAAACAGTTTATAATTATTATTTATTTTTAATACATATAAACTTTTTTTTAATTTGTCATTGCCCTCAATTAAAGGTAAAAATGCAATTTTTACCTAAGATATTTATATTTAATATATTATAATTTGGTGTGGTTATATGAATAATCTAATTTTTTGATGTTAAATTGAAACAAAAAAGTGTATGACCTCTTTATTATTTTAAAATTTATTTTGTCTCTTTGTTGTTTTTTCTTATTAATAAAAACGTCATTATTTTTTTATTTTTAGAAAC